TAAAAATGAATAATAGATTATAATTTTAAAAATGAATATTGTATAATTAATTAACATACAATGACATATTCATAACACAAAAGAAACTGCACACTGTATGTGCCGATCATACCTACCAGCTTGTTGAGTATAACTGATCCAATATGAACGCACTATTGAAGTAATATGGAAGCCCCCCCAAATTTATAGCAGATGCATATACACTCGTAATTTAACCCATTTACGCCCAAGGTTAATTTTTGTGAATAAAATTGATTTTTCTACTATAAACTTATATTATTAGAGCCAAATGTAATTGAAAAAATTATAAAAAAAAAAAATTATATACCATACAAGAGTTATTGAGTGTCCTATATATAGGACACTGGGCATATGAACAATTATAAATATTATTATGTTTTCATATACAAATATACCAATAAAAATAATTGAAATTTTATACTTTTAATTGATAATTAATTATTACACGTTATATTTAAATTATGATAATGAGAGGCTTACAATGTATATTTTTTGAATTTACTTAGGTACATACGAACATTATTTTGTGTGATATAAAACGTTACATTTTGCGTGGACACCAATATTGCACTTCATACATCTTGTCGTTGTTTTTTGATGACATTGACCACACCGTGTTTGAGAGTCTTGGGGAATCAAATAATGTTCAAATTTGTCATATCTTATTTCCATAATAACACTGGATGGTTTGCCTCCACTTCTTCCTGGAGTGGGTTCTGTCTTGTAACGTGTCAGATATTTTATTTTATTTTATTTTATTTTATTATTTCAACGCCTAACGGCAGTTAACATAGACAAATACATAAATATTGATAGGTATTAGATAACAAATTGGTAGTGATAAAAAAACATTATAAGTATAATATAGCTTAAGTACTAATAGAACATAAAAATAAAGATATAGTTAATAGGTATACATATTATTATTATTAAGTAAAAACTTAACGTTGTGTGGTCCGTGCCAAGATTTATTTTACTCTTTATTTTTGACTAAAATTCCAAAAGTCTTGGGTCTGAGTTAATTTTACTCATTATTCTCTGGATAGGGTCATTGCAAAGATAATTAGTTTTACGAGTGCTGATTTCAAACATTATTTTACTACGGGACCCATTTCTAGGTATGTGAAATTTAACCCTTTCGAGTAAACGGCTAGCATCGGTTTTCCCCAAAACTAAATTATTTAAAAATCTTATATCTAACATATTTCTTCTACTTTCAAGGTTAGATAAATTTAAAAATGTTGATATTGATGAGTAGTCATGAGGAAGGTGAGTAATTTTTAAAACATACCCAGCGAACGCAAAAAATCGGTTTTGAACCCTTTCAATCCTTTGGATGTCTTTCTGAGTGTAGGGGGACCATGAAACAGAGCCGTATTCTAAAATTGACCGCACCAATGATGTATATAATGTTACTAGGCAATTAGCTTGATCAAAGTTCGACGCATTCCGGCGAATAAAACCCAGTGTACGTAGCGCTTTGCAAGTGATACGCTCAACATGAATACTAAAAGATAAAGAAGGTACTAATGTGAATCCTAAATCTTCTACTTGGTCTACTCGGGGCAAGCATTCATTATACATTAAGTAGTCAAAATTTATATAATTATGTGTTCTGAAAAATGTCATTACCTTGCATTTATTGAAGTTTAAGGAGAGTCCAACCAAATTACACCAGTCGACCAGTTTGAATATAGAATCTTGCAGAGCAATACAGTCTTCAGGAGTTTGTATTTTATAAAATATTTTCGCATCATCAGCAAATAGAAGTATTCTACAAGGTGATATAATCGTTGATATAGAGTTAATAAAAATGTTAAATAATAGCGGTGAGAGGTGTCCACCTTGGGGTACGCCAGAGGTTGCCTTAATATTCTCCGATTTATTATTAAGCAAATCAACAAATTGAAATCTATCACTGAGGTATGATTGAATCCATGATAATAATGGATTTCCCACACCCAATTTATCCAAGATAAGTATTAATGTTGTATGATTAACTGAGTCAAATGCTTTCGAAAAATCAGTATATATGACATCTACTTGTTAGTGGAGTTCAAATGCATCTAAGACATATGTAGAAAAGTCAACCATGTTAGTGACCGTGGATCGACCTTTTATAAAACCGTGCTGATCATTGGACAGTACCACATTAAATTGTCTTTCGATTTTCTTTAGAACTAAGAATTCGAGTACCTTACCAATAAGAGGTAACCCCGAAATTGGACGATAATTAGTAATATCAGTTGGGTCTCCTGATTTAAAAATAGGTGTGACTTTGCTTGTTTTCCAAATGTTTGGGAAAATACCTTGCTGGAGAGATTTATTAAATAATATTAGTAAGGGTGTGTTTAAGGCTTCACGACATTGGAAGAGCAGAGGTGCTGCTATCCCATCTGGTCCTTTACTATCAGATTTAGATAAGCTATTTAAAACTTCCGAGATATCGTCCCGTGAAAGAAACACTTTAGAAGGCAGATGTGAATACTGATTTATCGTGAGGTTATCTAGATCATTTGGTTTTGTATTAGGTGTTTTATATACGGAAGAAAAATACGAAGCAAAGAATGCCGAAATCTGAGGGCCTGAAACGTGTGTATTTTCTAGATGCATTTCTTCAGGGATGCCTGAGCATTTTCCTTTATTTCGTACATAATTCCAGAATTTGGTTGGGTTAGATGTTAGACTAATTTGAGTGTTTTTTATATGCTCATTGAGAAATTTTTTTGATGCCGATTTGCATTGAGCTCATAAATTGGAAAAGTTATTATAGTCGACTTGAGATCCAGTAGTTTTATACTTTTTATGGGCCACTTTTTTTTTAACTATAAGAGATTTAAGTTCACCTGGTACCCACTGGGGAAAGTTAGATTTACGAAAGACTTTATTGGGTACATATTTATTAATTAAACTTAAAAGAATATTTTGTAGGTAACTAGCAGCTTGGTTAACTGACATTTCATTGAAAATTGTATCCCAATCAAATTCACGTATACTAGATTCAATCCTCCCAAAATCAGCTTGTTTGAAGTCCCTATATGTATGTTCATTGTTAAGCATTGGTGTATCGACTGGAAGTGGACAGCTAATTGATAGAGCTGGATGGTGGGTGTCGCACGGGACAATATAGTCTAGGGCAGGTTCAATACTTAAAGGGGAGCCTGAAAACACAAGGTCAAGAAGAGCACCATTTTGATTTCTGATCTCATTATTTTGAGTAAAGTTTAGTAGTGCGTATTGGTGACCTATTACTCTTACTTTGTCACTAATTGTACCACTAAATATCAAACTTTCGCCATTATTATACCAATTGACACCAGGCAAATTAAAATCTCCACATACAATGACTATGTCATATATGCAAGACTGGCATATAATATCAACTTCCTTAACATGGCTCTCATATATTTCAACATTTGCCGATGGTGGTATATAAACACCTGCTATAAGAACACTAACCTTATTTGGTAATATAACTTTCACAAAAACTTGTTCAACATTATCACATTTAGGATGGATGATTAAAGGTCTTAATAATTTTTTAACCGCTATAAGTATCCCACCTCCGCGTACTTTAGTACTGTTATTCTTATTTCTATCACATCTGAAAACTAAATATTCACTTAAAAAATATTCAGCACTCGATATCTCCTGCGAAAGCCAGGTTTCGGTGAGCACAAAAATATCATATTGAAGTAATATTAAATTGGAATTAAAATTATAAATCTTAGTTCGGAGGCCACGTACATTTTGATAATATATTTTTATACAATTATTATTACTAGAAGATTGCTGTTCCGAATTTGAACAATACATTTTAGTATCATATTTAGCTTTAAAATTATTAAACTCAGTAAGAAAATTATTATAGCCAGAATTAGCTTTGTAACATGAAGAGCAATTAGTATTAAAATTATTATAAGCATGCAAACCCAATGTTGAGTCTAAGAAAGATGTTGAGCAGTTGGACGTATTTGGGAGTAGACTTGATTGCACTAGTTTTTTGACTGATTGGCATATGAATGTGTGCGCGAAGCTTGAGATGGTGGGGAGATCAGCACAATGCAGGGAAGTCCATCTCTATATTTGACCATAATATTTGTTTCACCATTTTTCCGGCGGTTTTCCAAGTCAGCGTAGACAGAACGGATGAATTCACGTTCACGTGGTGTTCGGTCGCGGACGACTGAGATACGGAGATCTGTACTGGCTGTTGGAAGATCTTTCACACCATTATTGTAGTCAGTAATAACTTTGAGAGCTACCTCTTTTGAAGAGAGAAAAAGCTTTAAAGGCCGAGGTCCTCTATTACTTGGCTTTCCTAACCTAATAGATTTTAGGTTTGTGGGAAGATCAGGGAAATAAGGCTGAATGATTTCAGATATTTTCAATGAATCGCTAGAAATTCTTTCAGTTACATTATCAGAGGAAGATTCAGGAATACCACGAATTATTATATTACGCGATGATCTTTCTCGTTCTGATATCTCTTGAAGTAGTGTTGGAATAATGTCAGCCATAGGAGTTGAGTGGGAGTTACTTGCTAATTCCAGGGTTTGGATACGCTTATTGAGGTCTTCGATATTATTACGATTAATTCCATTTTCATTTATTAAATCTGCTACCTGAGTGGTTAGCAGATGTATGCTTTTGTTAAGCTCATCGATATGAAATGACTATGCTTCTTCGAAATGCCAATTGATCCATTTTATTTTTATTATACATCCTATGAAGCTGCCATGCATTTTGAACGGCTAAGTCTATAATATATAGAACAATAGAAGAGTACCATTTTTTACCTCTGATCCCAATACGATATTGTGATATATTTTGGTCCATTCGATCTACACCACCCATATTTTTGTTATAAACAGAAACGATATTTGGTTGTGAAATCCGTAATCTTTTTTTTTCGGAAGTAGACCAACGGTTTGCCACAGAAATAGGATCTGTCCCAATAGTATTTGAAGCTAAGCAAACAATGTTATTATCACGCCAACAGCAAATAAAAATTGCATTATTTGAAACAAAACTACAGCTAGACCCTCTTGGTTGTTTTTTCATTTTTCCAAAATCAATTGGACATTTCATAACTCTGTTTGACCGAATTGTACCTGTCGCGCGAATGTTGATAGATTTGAGCTTTTCCAAAAGAGTGACACCCGTAAAAAAATTGTCAAACACCAAATGATATGGAGCAGGTCGATGGTTTATAATTTGGTTAGCATAAGCTAAAATAACAGATCCTCCTAATCCGACATCTGTTTGGTTGAACCCGGTATTTTTTCCTTGGTAAGGAGAGATCCATAATGCATATCCTAGACGCAATGTCCCAACCCACACTTTAAATCCAAAACGAATTGGTTTTCCTCGGATAAATTGTTTGCATCCATGTTTACCATAATATGGCACCATGGATTCATCTATGCTATGAAATTCTTCGTGAGGAGCGTGCATTAGGAATCTAGTATTTATCATAGTAATCAACGGTCTTATTTTTGCATATTTATCAGAATTATCCAAGTTGTTGTTGTTTGAAAAGTGAAGATTATGAAATATATCGTCAAATCTATTTCGCCTCATAGCATTGGACACTAAACCATTATTTGTATCAGGGGCCTTTTCCCAGTACATACGTCGCCGAGACATTTCATTATACCCAGATAATAAGAGAATTGCAATAAAACATTTCAATTCATTTTTTGTCAAGTCCAAGGAAATATTTTTAGAAGAAGCATAAATGTTTGTATATTGTACAATAGAATCAAAAACTTGATCATCGAAAAATAATTCAAAAAGTTCAAATGGCGCAAGTGAGCCATATTTTATTTTACTGTTTTCATCTGGACCCCAAAGCTCTGTTATTTTAGGAGTCTCTAAATCTCCTTCACGCCAAATTTGAAATGAATCTTTTTGACTTTTTTTCTTGCCCACTACAACCCGATTTTTTTTTGTAGTCACAACTTTTTTTTTTTTTGATTCGTAATAATTGTCGGTGTTGAGAATTTCTTTCGGTAAAATAACATTAGCTTTCAATACACTAGCAGGTAAATGGTTTATATCACCTGTATGTTCATCGTTATCGGAGTCTTCGTCAGTAATATTTTCATCCGGAGGTTCTAAGAAAATAGTATCTTCACTCAGCTCATCTGCCTCCAGCAAATTTATAATATCATTCACACAAAGAGATCTAAAAAAAATATACATATTAGGCTACAGAATATCCCAGTGACCTACATGTAGAACACCAATATTTAAACGCAAATAAATGAAAAAGTATGTGGAATAAATTAATTTAATTTATAAAAATATAAAATGTAAATAGTAATATATATGATTGTATGTGTTTTATGTATAAAAAAAAAATCTAAAATAGTTCACTTACTTTGACGATGAAGCCATTTTTCTATTTGAACAAGGCGGTGTACAAAATGTTACTAACACGTAATAACGTTCGACTATACAACGCAAAATAATATCATCGGGTCGATTATTGTATTATCTAACAGCCTAAATCGATAAAATGGGGAAAATTCTAAAAATAAAACCGATAGCAATAATTATTTCCGGTGTCCTACATATAGGCCACTGGGTGTATATGGTTAAAATAGATCATGATTTTATTGGTAAACAACACCTTCTATGGTAATACGAAATATTAAATGTCCACAAAATGTATTTGCAAACACTATTGTAAACAATAGTAAAAACAAAAATAGTATAGTGCCGAGTAACCGATATATCAACAGAAATTAGTGCCGAGTAACCGATATATCAACAGACATTATCTATAAACAATACCACATACGGTAATGTAGGCATTGACATGAACATCACTATACATCATACATATCAATTTGTATAAAATGAAGTGGCCGAATGTGAGTAAAATCAGTTTATTTTAATCAGTGCAAATTAGTAGTCATAATGTCGGACATGAGTATACAAAATTCCGCCGTTGAAGAAATCAATGTAAGTACATTATTATTATATTATTAATATGTTTTAGTTTACCACAATTTATCAGCAATAAGTTTAAAAAATAGTAATTTAAATTTAGGAACATTATTTGTATCGAAAAAATGTGGAAATGCAGAATTCTAAAAAATCCAAAATCACTAAAAAAACAACCCTAAAAAAACAGAAATTATCAATGTCCAACACAAGTGATCAAAATTCAGATGATGAAGAAATCGACGTATGTTCACCACTATTATTAGTATTATAGCATTAATATTTTTTTGTTTCCTTAAATTAAACATCAATAAATTGAAAAAAATGATAATATAAATTTAGGAACTTTATGATCATCGAAAACATGGCCAAATGCAGAATTCTAAAAAACTCAAAATCACTAAAAAAACAACACCAAAAAAACAGAAATTAATAATGCCCCACACAAGTGATCAAAATTCAGATGATGAAGAAATCANTAAAAATGAATAATAGATTATAATTTTAAAAATGAATATTGTATAATTAATTAACATACAATGAAATATTCATAACACAAAAGAAACTGCACACTGTATGTGCCGATCATACCTACCAGCTTGTTGAGTATAACTGATCCAATATGAACGCACTATTGAAATTTGAAGTAATATGGAAGCCCCCCAAATTTATAGCAGATGCATATACACTCGTAATTTAAAATAGATCATGATTTTATTGGTAAACAACACCTTCTATGGTAATACGAAATATTAAATGTGCACAAAATGTATTTGCAAACACTAATGTAAACAATAGTAAAAACAAAAATAGTATAGTGCCGAGTAACCGATATATCAACAGACATTATCTATAAACAATACCACATAAGGTAATGTAGGCATTGACATGACCATCACTATACATCATACATATAAATTTGTATAAAATAAAGTGGCCGAATGTGAGTTACCTCAGTTTATTTTAATCAGTGCAAATTAGTAGTCATAATGTCGGACATGAGTATACAAAATTCCGCCGTTGAAGAAATCAATGTAAGTACATTATTATTATATTATTAATATGTTTTAGTTTACCACAATTTATCAGCAATAAGTTTAAAAAATAGTAATTTAAATTTAGGAACATTATTTGTATCGAAAAAATGTGGAAATGCAGAATTCTAAAAAATCCAAAATCACTAAAAAACAACCCTAAAAAAACAGAAATTATCAATGTCCAACACAAGTGATCAAAATTCAGATGATGAAGAAATCGACGTATGTTCACCACAATTATTACTATTATACCATTAATATTTTTTTGTTTCCTTAAATTAAACATCAATAAATAAAATTGAAAAAATGATAATATAAATTTAGGAACTTTATGATCATCGAAAACATGGCCAAATGCAGAATTCTAAAAAACTCAAAATCACTAAAAAAACAACACCAAAAAAACAGAAATTAATAATGCCCCACACAAGTGATCAAAATTCAGATGATGAAGAAATCAACGTATGTTTGTCCATATTATTATTATTATTATTATTATAGCATTAATATTTTTTAGTTTCTTTAAATTAAACAACATTAAATTGAAAAAATGATAATACAAATTTAGGAACTTTATAATCATCGAAAACTTGGCCAAATGCAGAATCTTAAAAAAATCGAACCCGTTGTAAAAGCTAAACCGAAAAAACAGAAAGTAAAATATTAAATATTTTAATAATATATTTATTAAATAATATTAATTTTTTAGTTTCAGTCGCAATTATTAAAACTGGAACAAGAGTATAATGGTTTATTCACCGCGATCAATGAAAACTGCATACGCATAAAAAAATCAGATGGGGGACATTTTTGCATAAAAACACCACCAATCAAAACAGCAAGTGACTATTTGGTTATTCAAAAATACAAAACTTCTGATATGGAAAAAGTCGAGTCAAAAGACAGGTAACTCTTCTTATTTTGTATAAACAGGGTATAATAAGTTTTGCACTAGGTATCATTCATATGAATAAAAAAAGTTCAATATTTATAAATTATTTGTTACCCATATTATACCCTAGTTGTGGTATTATTTTATAACGTAAATAGGTAACCAAACAATTTTGAGAATATGTAATGATGTTTCGAC